TACGAACAGTGTTCTCCAATGTTTCACATAAGTCAGTCATGAGCATTCCAGGCTTTATTATGCCTTTCATATATTTGCGAACCTGGTTAGAGATAAAGAAAACCATGAACTAAGTTATGTCATTGTTAATGTTGGAAAGCAACAAGTAAACAAACAAAATAGGAACCTGACGATGAACTTCAGCTGCTCGACGGACAGAATTATATATTGGTTTCTGAAGGCGCTCAAGCTCCCTCTTTTCCTCTGATGTAGTTCTCCAAAGGTTACTAGCATAGCAACAAAAGTATATTTGAAAATTGACAGAACACGGCATGAGATCTGAGGCATGAATGAATGAAGTAATGAACTTACTCATCTTTGTAGTGCTGAGTTTGACCTTCAGGAAAATCTCCAGATGGGAAAAGGTCCAAGATAGGAATTGAGGGAGGATCAGTCTGCTTAGGGGCTTCTTTCTTTTTCCTGAAAACACAAAATCAATAAACATGTTTCTATAGTAATAATTAAGGGAGGATCAGTCTGCTTAGGGGCTTCTTTCTTGGTCACTCACTTGCTTTTCGATTTCTTCTTTTTCTTCTTTGAAACTTCTGTCAGAACAAAACAAAATTGCATAATATATATATATATATGCATTAAATTAAGGCATACAAAAAGAAGATAAACATTATTACCTCCTTTAGCATTAGCAGGGTCGTCGTCATCACCATCTTGTTGTTGTGATGTGAGAGAAAGGTCAGTGATAGCATGTTCTAAGCTACTTTGAGGAGTTTCATTTCCTTCTCCTTTCTGCTGTTGTTGTTCTGATGGTAGAATGTCCATACCCGCCGAGACTGCTATCCCTCAAACAGAAATCAAAACAAACCTCCTCTAGGGTATGATTATCAATCAATATGATTTCTTATCATGGATCACAAAAACACCCACTTTACCTTTCCTCACCTGGGCTTCTACCCACTCTTGGCCCACCACTGGGTTTGTCTTTTCTTTCTTCTTCTTCATAGCAAATAAATAAATAAATATATTTATTTCATTAATGTCACTCTCTCCTTAAGGCCTCAAGTAACAATGGCAATGGGTACGTGTTTACATAATCCTGAACTGAAATTTAAAATTCAAACTTGAATTAAGTGAGGTTGAAAAAATGATATTATCTTTAAACTCGTCGAATTTTAAGTAATCGGAACCCGATATATTTCTAAAACATATTATATATATATATATATATATATATATATATATGTATATATATGTGTGTGTCAAATTTATATATATATAGCTTTTATATATGTCTTTATCTATAATTTTTATATTAATCGGGTTTGTGGTAGGGAATCAACAATAACAAACTCGAACTCGAAAATTGAACTCAAGTAAAACTCGAACTCATTTAATAAAATTGAACTCAAGTAAAACTCGAAAGGTGGGTATTAATATTTTAATTTGGTCTGAAAAATAAATGGTAAACCATTTAATAAAAGTTTTAAAATGATTAAGTCAAAAGTTATAAATTACATTAAAAAAAATCGTGGTGCCAAACAATATCAAAATAATATGAGGTCGTGGATAAATTTGTTAGTTAAACTCATCACAAACTATAATCTAGTAGAGTTTTCCATACAAGGTAGCATTATGATTAATAAATTATATATATTTTTTATGGAAGAATAAAAATGGAGGGTATAGAAAAGCGGAAGATGATAACGGTGTCGTAAATAAAAAATGCTAAATTGTGGGTGGACTATATCGGTCCAGTGTGGATCCTCTTGGATGGCTAGTAATGTTGAGAATAGAAGGAAGAAGTGGAGTAAAAATGTGAAAAGTAGTTGTTTTTCTTTGAATTTAGCACTTACTGGTTTCCTTGCAGCTACTGCTGTGATAGCAACTGCAGCTGAATTGGAGGAGACTCTGTCCAACATACCTCAAACACTGTCTGGTGAGTGTAGTACTAAAGACTCCTGCAAGAAACCTAAAATACAGAGACCAAAATCAAGGAAAGCAGAATCATGCACTGTTAAGTGTGTAACCACTTGCATCCGAGGCGGTGAAGGAGAAGGCCCTCTTAATCTCACTAGGTAGGTAGTAGGTACACACATATGTACTAATATTATCTTCATCTTCTACCTAAATCAATATTATTGCTTCTATTTTTCAGACCTCTGGTTGTTTTCAAACAAGGGTTTCGAACGCGTCAATATTGGTAATTTACCTCAACTATTTGCTACGAATTATGGTACAAATCAAGTGAGGTTAATAACAACAATGAATAATTAAGATTAAAATAATCACTTCTTCAGCTCATGTCAACTTTCCATATACTTTCTTTGTGCAGTTTGGTGGAGTGTTCAGATATATGTAATTTGATCAGCGATGTTGACGATGGAACTTAAATTTCTTTCGTTACCACCAAGTACTCATTATAAGTATTTTAATTAATAGTTATAAAGAGGATGAACTCTTCAAATTGGTGAAATATTTTATTATGTATTTTGATGATATTGTATGGATCCGTTTATTGTTCTTTTGTCATTATGAATGCTTTTTATTATTAAGTTTTAATTAATAGCACAGACTTAATGCTAGCTTGTCCTGCTAGTGCTAGGTGTTGGTTCTAGTCCAACAGGTAGTTCAGATCTATCTCTTAGAGGGGAATTTATAAGAATAAAATATGGAAATGGACTCTATCTCTAATGTGAAGCAAACCTAGAATGCTCTGCCACGTCTTGGATATGCATTGCTCAACAATCTAGCACAAAGATAATGTGATATCCAGACAGCCAAGTTTGGCGAAGCAGTGAAGCATTTTGGACATCAACAATCTTCCTCTACTATGCAGCACGAATTAAATCACGTTGTGCCTCTTGAACCTCTCCCCTTACGTTTTTACGAGTGTAAATCTTCACCTACATTTGTTATTTCCAAAAATGAAAATCTATCCAAAGAAACATTAAGATACATTACCGCAGGAGATGAATACATCCCGCAGCATGAGAGCGAAAGCTACAGAGGCTCATAGCCATCAATTGCAAGCTTCTTCTGTTCCTCAGACCCCTTTAACTTGTGAAGAGCAACAAGTAATGCCTAGTAACACATTACACAGGAAATGCGATTCAGGAGATTGCAAAATATATTAACAAATCTTTAGATGTGCTTATAATTAAATCCCCAAATTTAGCCTTAGATGAAATTAAGAGGAAACGGGGTTGGGAAGTAGTAGTAGTAGTTTACTTAGTTCTTTAATTAGATGAAATAATTATGATGATCACTCTTTCAAAAAAGGGAGTGTAATTTGGGCAAAAAGGTAAGTGGGGTACTTATTATGAATGAGCAATCAAACTTATTAAAATGATAATATTAGTATATTATCTATCATTTATTTTCAATCGTTATTTCATTCTTATAAAAAAAAGTAATATAAATTAATGATGAATAATACATTAATTAATTATGTATAGATTTTTAAAAGTATATAAATATTAGTCATGATTTTCACTGAAACAAATTATCTAAAGAAAAGAAATGGAGTGATATACTACTTGTAACACCCCAAATTTTAATCTTTAAAATTATAGTATCAGTCCTGGAAGTCTCGCTTGATCGAGAGATTCTCGCCTGAGCGAGAAAGGATCACCTGGGAGGGTGAAATCCTGGACTATACCGGAGGATTCTCGCCTAGGCGAGAAATGGCAATTTTGGGCTGTTTACACAGTGTAATCGATTACACACTTCTGGTAATCGATTACATGCTGATAAACTAATCAGACCTGTGCATCTGACACAGTCCTGGTAATCGATTACACAGTCCTGGTAATCGATTACACAGTCCTGGTAATCGATTACACATTACACAGTCCTGGTAATCGATTACACAGTCCTGGTAATCGATTACACAGTCCTTGTAATCGATTACACAGTCCTGGTAATCGATTACACAGTCCTTGTAATCGATTACACAGTCCTGGTAATCGATTACACAGTCCTTGTAATCGATTACACAGTCCTTGTAATCGATTACACAGTCATGGTAATCGATTACACAGTCATGGTAATCGATTACACAGTCCTGGTAATCGATTACACAGTCCTGGTAATCGATTACACAGTCATGGTAATCGATTACACAGTCATGGTAATCGATTACACAGTCCTGGTAATCGATTACACAGTCCTGGTAATCGATTACACAGTCCTGGTAATCGATTACACAGTCATGGTAATCGATTACACAGTCCCGGTAATCGATTACACAGTCCCGGTAATCGATTACATGATGATTAAAAGCATCAGATATGTACATCTGACACAATATAATCGATTACACCAGTTTGTAATCGATTACACACTTATGGTAATCGATTACATCGTATTAATGTAATCGATTACACCATGTTGGTAATCGATTACATAGCGACGATGACTCTATAATTTACACAGTGTAATCGATTACACTATACTTGTAATCGATTACACTATCGCAGTGTCTATAAAATAGAAACTCAAAACACATTTTTGGGTTAGAACTTCGAAGAGAAGAGAGAAAGGAGAGCTTTTCAAGAGCAAGGAGCCTTAGGACTCATCTTGGAGCTTGAGAAGAGGTAAACCTCTTGTTACTAACTCTTCTTCTTCCTCTCTAACTTGTTTTGGGTATGTTGGATTTATTTTCAAAACATGAGAAACCATGGAAACTCATTCTTTAGAGTTATGGTTCGTTTTATGTTGTTTTTATCTTGTAAACTCTTGGTTTAGAGTTGGTATTTGATGAATGTAAAGTTTTATGGGTTATTCATGAAAAACCCCCAAAATGAGAATATGAGTATAAAGAGAAAGAGATGAAATGTTATATGTGGATAATGAGTAGTGCTTTGATGTTGTTATATGAGATGAACATGTATGCTTTGATATTTAGAAACTTGTATTGAAGTAGTTTTGGAAATATTGAAATATGAGATGTTATGCATGTTTTAGATAGTTGAATATTGATGATGAATATTTTGTATGATTAAATGATGCAAAATAAGTTGTTTATGTGATATTTGGAATAAATGACTAACATTGTTGTTATTAGTGGAAATGAGGAAAGATCCTAAGGTTGGAGGAAATCGCGGAGGAGACTTTTAAAGTTACTCGGAACCGATTCCCAAAACTCACTGAGGTAAGGGATAACTGGCTCTAATTCATACTCACTGATGTGAATGAGGTATGTGAAAGAGGTAATGTGTTGTAAGTTTGATTGTTGTTACCCTACCCGAATAGGTAGTGGTTTATTGTGGTTACCCTACTCGAAGAGGTAGTGGTTGACTGTTATTGTGTCCTACCCGGAGTGGTGGTGAACTGTTTATTGTGTCCTACCCGGAGTGGTAGTGAACTGTTTGTTGTGTCCTACCCGGAGTGGTAGTAGACTGTTATTGTGTCCTACCTTAAATGGTAGCGGACTGTTATCGTGTCCTACCCGGAGTGGTAGCGGACTGTTGTTGTGTCCTACCCGGAGTGGTAGTGGACTGTTATTGTTATCCTACCGGGAATGGTAGTGAAGAATTGTGAACTAGACCTACCCGATGTGGTATGGATTATAACTAGACCTACCCGATGTGGTATGGAGCATAACACTAGACCTACCCGATGTGGTATGGAATATAATACTAGACCTACCCGATGTGGTATGGAATATAATACTAGACCTACCCGATGTGGTATGGAGTATAACTAGACCTGCCCGATGTGGTATGGAGTATAACTAGACCTGCCCGATGTGGTATGGAGTATAACTAGACCTGCCCGATGTGGTATGGAGTATAACACTAGACCTACCCGATGTGGTATGGAGCATAACACTAGACCTACCCGATGTGGTATGGAATATAAGACTAGACCTACCCGATGTGGTATGGAGTATAACTAGACCTGCCCGATGTGGTACGGAGTATAACTAGACCTGCCCGATGTGGTACGGAGTATAACTAGACCTGCCCGATGTGGTATGGAGTATAACTAGACCTGCCCGATGTGGTATGGAGTATAACTAGACCTACCCGATGTGGTATGGAATATAACAGTAGACCTGCCCGATGTGGTATGGATGATGAACTAGACCTGCCCGATGTGGTATGGATGATGAACTAGACCTGCCCGATGTGGTATGGATGATGAACTAGACCTGCCCGATGTGGTATGGATGATAAACTAGACCTGCCCGATGTGGTATGGATGGTGAACTAGACCTACCCGATGTGGTATGGAGATGTAATTGGACCTACCCGATGTGGTATGGAGTATAACACTAGACCTACCCGATGTGGTATGGAGCATAACACTAGACCTACCCGATGTGGTATGGAATATAAGACTAGACCTACCCGATGTGGTATGGAGTATAACTAGACCTGCCCGATGTGGTACGGAGTATAACTAGACATGCCCGATGTGGTATGGAGTATAACTAGACCTGCCCGATGTGGTATGGAGTATAACTAGACCTACCCGATGTGGTATGGAGTATAACACTAGACCTACCCGATGTGGTATGGAGCATAACACTAGACCTACCCGATGTGGTGTGGAATATAAGACTAGACCTACCCGATGTGGTATGGAGTATAACTAAACCTGCCCGATGTGGTATGGAGTATAACTAGACCTGCCCGATGTGGTATGGAGTATAACTAGACCTGCCCGATGTGGTATGGAGTATAACTAGACCTACCCGATGTGGTATGGAATATAACAGTAGACCTGCCCGATGTGGTATGGATGATGAACTAGACCTGTCCGATGTGGTATGGATGATGAACTAGACCTGCCCGATGTCGTATGGATGATGAACTAGACCTGCCCGATGTGGTATGGATGATGAACTAGACCTGCCCGATGTGGTATGGATGGTGAACTAGACCTACCCGATGTGGTATGGAGATGTAATTGGATCTACCCGAGGTGGTAGGAGATTATAGTTGTGAAAGAACTCGGTGAATACGATTAAGGATGAATACGACATATGAGAAACGAGGACGTTAAGAGCGAAAGTCATATGCATGTTATAGGATATATATTATGGTATATATATACTATAGGGTGAATATGAATGTTGGAAATGAATACGTTAAGGATAAAAGTAATATACATGCTATAAGATATATAGTATGGGATATATATATACTATAGTGTGGATATGAATAATGAGAAGAACGATGCTTCGAATAAACATAATATGCATGCTATAGAATATATATTATGGGATATGTATTCTATAGGATGAATATGGATAACGTAGAAATGAACGAAAGAAGAGATGAATGTTTGCATTTACGTAATTGCGTTTATAATCTATATTAAAGTTTAATCGTATTTGAAATGTGGATTATCATGTGATATTAGTTTTTAAACTAATGACTTACTCCCTTTTGTTTTGTGTGTTGTTTATGATAATCCCATTGTAGGTAAATGAAAGATTTTGAGGATGAAGCTCAATTAGGAAGCTTTTGTGTTTAATTACTCGCTTGTCTGTATTGCTAAGTGACGTTGTAGTTGATTTATTAGTATTATGGGATGACTGTAAATCCGTTTAGATCAATACGGATATGTGTAGTTATGGGCTTTATAACCTTGAGAGACCCATAACTGGTTGTATGTGGTAAATGCTATTTGAATGAATTATGTTTTTCCGCAACATAAATTTGTATGATAAGAAAATAGGGTAAAGAGTATTTTCGAAAATGATACTTGAGAGTTTTCAATGAAAGTGACGACTGTATGTAAGAAATGATTAAAATAAACGAAAAATTTTCAATGGTAGAAAATCGGGTCATTACACTACTTATTATTATTCATTCACTAGTTCATTCAGAGTAAGTAAGCAAGTAAAAATATCTATCGTATAGCATAAGGTGAGTGAGCTTGAAATTTTAACATTTCTTTCAACTCTCTCTGTCTCTCTACCCACTTCTTCAAAGTTCAAACACCAACTAAGGAAAGGAAGGGTGAACTTGGACCTGGGTTAATTCCAATAATTATGATTTTTGATAATAATGCTTGTTTTAATATTACATATTCATTTCCATATATTAATTTAGGGAAATGTGAGTATTTGGTTGGGGAAATAAAGTTATTTGGCCAACCAAATGATGTTTCATATATACTTACTATATAACAATTTTCAAGGGAAGAAAGCAGAATGTAAATAAGTTATTTCAATAATAAGCACAATGATGACTGAAGTGTGTGCAGTGTGAGATCAGAGCCAGAAAAGTGCACGTGAGAGTTGATACTTACAACATGTGGATGTTATATCATAATAAGTATTATTGATGATTGAGATAAAGAGATTATTAATGATTGAGATAAACAGTGTAATATCAAACTCATACCCATAATTTTTTTGTTATAGATAAATCTTTCAAAAACTTATAAAATTGTCCTTTACCTAAAAATAGATTATCCCATACAATTAATTATGTGTATATCATATGGGATATTATCAGTAAATATAATTTATAGTAAGGTACGACTATAATTATTTGAAAATATAGGTCATTAATTATCATAACCATAAATAATTCTGTGTGATAATTAATTAAATAAAAAACGTGGAACTCTGTGAACACAAGTCCATCTATTTCCATAAGTTGGATTCTGCATGGTATGATTTTGGGTGTATAACAAAAATGTAATAATAATGGAGAATAAATGACAACTAATTAATTTACAAATTAATGGAAGTCCGTATAGCTCTCCTGGAAAATAGGACACCACCCAAAATCAAACTGTTACTGCATGCAAACGACAAATTATCCGTTGATTCTTTTATTTTGTTATTTCTTGTTATCAATAATAATCTTTTCTTCTTTCATCCATCACCAGCCTCTTTCTTTATTTCTTTGGCTCCTTCTAACGCACCCAGTACCATCACCTTGGCCTTAATTGGCCTTTGGTACCAACATATTACTAATGATTAGAAGAGATGGTGGTGCATCAACATGATAACAATAATAATAATAAGGAAAAAAAGAAAAGAATAAGGTGTGGCCGAAACCCACAAATACCTTGTTGTTAGAGAATTATTATTATTATTATTATCCTTATTATTATGATGATGATGTTGTTGTTGTGGGGGCGTTTTGTCTTTTGATTGCGTAATTGTGAATGCCAATGGGCGCGCGCTCTGCTATGCTTGTGCGCGCACCACCAACATCCATTTATTCTCATCATAATGTTTACTTTTTTGTTTTGGTATTATTGCTATCAATACCATGTTCCTGTGAATATGTCTCTGATGGAGAGGCACTATTGAAGTTCAAGAATTCATTGAGGAATGTGGTATCCCTCAGCAGTTGGGATCCAACAATAAACCCAAAGCCACCTTGCTCTGGAAACGTCCCTAACTGGGTTGGATTGTTGTGTATGAATGACAGAGTTTGGGGGTTAAGGCTTGAGAACATGGGTCTAACAGGAAACATCGATGTTGAGTCATTGGGGTCAATGCCAGCCTTGAGGACACTTAGCCTAATGAACAATACCTTTGTTGGCTCATTGCCTAACATCAAAATGCTCACTAACTTGAAGGCACTCTTTTTGTCATATAACCATTTCTCAGGAGAGATACCTGATGATGCATTTTCCACTTTGCATAAATTGAGAAAAGTTTATCTCTCAAATAATGAGTTCACCGGTAAAATCCCATCCTCCCTTGCTACCTTGCCTAATCTTCTCATCCTTGCCCTCAATTCAAACAAGTTTCAAGGTCAAATCCCTGATTTTCCACACAAAAAATTGACCACTCTCAACCTCTCTAATAATGATTTTGAAGGTTCCATCCCCACCAATCTAACCACTTTCGACGCATCATCCTTTACAGGTTAGTAGGTATCATGCATGCATATTTTTATCATTCTTATACTTGTTCAAAATATACTAATCGTGTTATTAATGAATGAATGAATGAATGAATGCAGGGAACTCACGTCTATGTGGAGCTCCTCTAAAGAATCCTTGCAAAGGTGAAGCCCCAACATCGGAGAGTTCAGCAGCTGGAAATATACGCATTGTGAAAATTTTACTTATAATTGTAATAATTGCAGTATTGATAGTAGCCCTGGTGGTTATAGTGTTGGTTATATGGCCTCGTTTAAGCTCCAATGATAATTATTCTAATAATAACCCATCTGAGGAATCATCATTCCAAGGAGGCCTAGGCATGCAGCCCTCTAAGAAGAAGTATGATAATAATAATAATCCTCCTCCCATTTATGTGAAGACCAAAAGCCTAGCAGAACACCATCACGATGATCATCATCATCATCCTAAACATGGTCATACCAAGAAAGGGAAAGGGGAACAAGCTGGGAAGCTGACATTCCTAAGGCATGATGAAGGCCAAATGTTTGACTTACAAGATTTGCTAAGAGCCTCAGCCGAGATTCTTGGGAGTGCTGGATTTGGGTCATCATACAAGGCAGTGATTATGGATGGACAAGCAGTGGTTGTGAAAAGGTACAAACAAATGAACAATGTAGGAAGAGAGGAATTCCATGAACACATGAGAAGGCTAGGCAACCTCAATCATCCAAATCTCCTACCTCTCCTTGCTTATTATTATAGGAAAGAAGAGAAGCTCTTGATTTCTTCCTATCTTCACAATGGTTGTTTGGCTACCCATCTTCATGGCAATCATAACTATCAAAAGCCTGGACTTGATTGGCCAACCCGTTTGAAAATAGTCAAAGGTATAGCTCGTGGTTTGGATTACCTATACAATGCACTCCCAAGCTTAATTGTCCCTCATGGTCATCTTAAATCTTCAAATGTTCTCTTAGATGAAAACTTAGAGCCTCTACTCACTGATTATGCCTTCAGTCCTGTCATCAACCTTGACCATGCTCAACAAGTCATCATGCCTTACAAATCACCTGAATATGCTCAACTTGGACGCATTACAAAGAAAACTGACGTGTGGAGTTTAGGAATTATAATACTTGAGATCTTGATTGGTAAATTCCCAGAGAACTATCTCACACACAGGCATAATCCTGATTCTGACATAGCCAATTGGGTGAATAACATGATTACTGAGAAGCGAACCACTGAGGTGTTTGATGTAGAGATGGGAGGAATGGGAAATAATAAAGCTGAACTGCTCAAACTCTTAAAGATTGGATTGAGTTGTTGTGAGGAGAATGTGGAGAGAAGGTTTGATATTAAGGAAGCTCTTGAGCAGATTGAAGAATTGAAAGTGGGTGATGAAACTGATATCATTGGAGATCAATACTCTTCTACTCTTATCACCACAGAAATCGATTCTTATAGAGCCGTGTGAGTGTCAGTGTTAGTGTCACTGTCACTGTCATCATTCAATTCACACCCTTTTTTTCATTCCTTTATTATCCACATGTCTTGTTTCATGAACATGATCAATTGTACGCGTACAAGGTGGCTTTTTCCCCATGAACATAAATATATGCATGCTATTAATTTACCTCCATTTTTTTTTCATTTATTAATTACTTTCTCTCCATCTTATATATGTCTCTTTCCTCCTTATATATGTCTCTTTCCCCATGAACATAAATATACGTATTCTTATTATTATATTACTTTGTCTATGCACAACTACACAAGGTTTAGATTATCTTTCTCCCTCTCACAATTCTTTCTATGAAACATTATCTCACTTTTTTAATTACTAGTATTATTAGTAACTGTGTATATAAAATATGCAAGTATTAGTAATCAATTTATACTTTAAGATATAATTGATAACATTATTTAAAATATTTGAGTCCTTAATATATTTATCCATCAGCTATCCAACCACTGTTTTTCCCAAATTTATATTTACATTGGAAGTATCTCCTTATATGAATTATGAGTTCAAGCTTAAAATTAAAGTGAATTGAAATTAGAATGATTAGTGATATTTTATATAAAAAAATTGAGTTGGGACATCTAAGATAATACTACTTTATTAGGGTACCTTTCTTTTAGGACAAATATATTCAACTTCAATCAAGGGTATTTTTTTATGAAAATAGTATCTTAGATAAGTTATTGGTCTTGTTTTTATATTTAAGGGTAAAATTGAAAATAAAATGTATTTTATTTTCTCTCCAACATGAAAAAGTATTGAGAGTGAAGTTTAAAAACAATATTTATGCTTTCTCATAGTGGATTTTTTTTATTATTATTTGGTAGGAGAGAAATAGCTAGAATAAAATTATTGAATGATAAAAATATCCATAAAAATAAAGTGGATATAAAAGAATGTTTTATTACTAATTAAATAATTAAGAATTAAAATGTAAATAAATGATAAAATTTATTCTCAACATATTAAATTTATTTTAACTTAAATATTATAATCTAAAGTAATTATCACTACTCTTTGGCATGAAATCAATTAATTAATTGGTTAATACTAATAGTAGGTGTAAGAAAACAATGAGTATTTTTGTCGTTGCCCAACAATTTTATTCTCTCTTTCTATTTTTTTTGCATCTAAGGAGATAATGATTTTGGATATGGATCCCACAAAATTTTATTATTTCTTCTCTATTTCATTTTCACATGTAAACCAAAACATTAAATCTCTTCTTTTTTTCACATC